ACACCAAAAATTACATACAACCCACAGTTTCACTATGTATTTCAAACTGGCCTGGAACTCACTCTGTAGTCCAGGCTTGCTTGGAACTCTATAGTGAAGCTGGCCTCAAATTTGGGGCAATCCTCCTGCCTCACTTTCCAAGGGCTGGGATTACAGACATGAGCCACCAAGCCTGACTTTCACAGTATTGCTCTAATCTACCCTATCTCTAGTAAAATAGGGAGGCCAGTCATCATTTTCATTTGCCAGTGGGGAAACTGAGTCCCAGAGAGAGACGAATGGACTTTTGTTCCTGAGGGAGAGAGGTGAGCCTTGATCTGGGACTCCACCTTTTTTCCCAGGGCAAGCTAAGACAGGGTTCTCAGAACATATATTGGCAAGATGTCTGGAGGGAGTGGCAGGACTCACAAATATCAGCCAACCAGACAGTCTCTTCTTTGCCACAGCTAGTGAGGCTGACACCAGGCCAATGAGAATGGTATACAATTCTTTAAAAGAAGAATGTGCTTTGGACATAGCCAGCACTTCCCTGGCTATTTTACATGTCAGGCTCTGAACTGTTTGCTTGTGTCCTCTCAAGACAGCACTCAGAAAAACTTGTACTGAATTCTCATTCTCTATTTTCTCCAGATGGGGAAACTGAGGCTCAACACATGGGGATGTGTAGTCAAGACATGGAAAGATGGATACCGGGCTTCCTAGCCTGGTCTCCTTTGAGATCTGTTACATGTCTCTAGACCCTTATACTTCCTCTCCACAGACCCCTTCCTGATCTAAACCAGGCATAGTCCTGGGTCACACATAAAAATCACAACAGGTGGGACTGTAGAGATGGCTCGGTGGGTAAGAGCATTTGCTGCTCTTGCAAATGTCCTGGCTTTGGCTCCCAGCACCCAAATGGCAGCTCACAGCCACTTCTAACTCCAGTTCCAGGAAACCCAACACCCTCTGGTTGTGGATGCTTCTGCACGCACATGGTACACGTAAACTCACACAGGCACACATGTGTACACATGAAGTACAAATAAATGACTCTTTTTAATCACACCACCTGGAAACTCCAGGTCAGGTGGGGGAGGTGCTGTAGACATATAAACTGGCCCCCTGGAGCAGGGCATGGGGCTCTTCCCCAAGCAGTCACAGAGCCCTTCCTGAATGGGGTACTTATGCTGGAGTCTTGAGGAATGAAAAGAAGTTCAAGAGTCACAGGCATCCATTCATATTTAGTCATTCAACAACTATTTCCAAGAGGACTCCGGTGGGAGCTGGAAGACACTAGGGACATAGATCTGAGTCACAATGAGGCTCTGCCCCCAGAACACGTCAGTCTGCAGGAGAGATGGCATCACATGCGAATTTAGTTATAATGAAGTGTACCCAGGCTTGACAGAGTCTGGGAGTGCTCCTAGCAGGGTTCCCACAATGATACATTAAACATCTTTTGTGGGCCAGGCATTGCCCTGGATCAAGCTGCAGCCCTGGAGGAGTCCCATACATGGCCACAATCAAGAAGCTCAGGCATTCGAGAATCGAGGCAGAGGCAGGTGGATCTCTGTAAGTTCAAGGTCATCCTGGTCTACATAGTGAACTCCGGGAAAGCCAGGACTATGTAGAGTGACCCTGTCTCAAAAACAAAAACACACACACAAATGAAAATAAAATAAAGCTTTAAAAAAAAAGATTGTCTTTGGGTAAATGAATGCCTGCCTGAATTGATCTCTACACTCTCTGAATGAAGCCCAGGTTGCATAGCACCTGGTCCCAGGGTCTGGGTGTTTTTTAAAATACATATATGAAGATCTGTGGTGTCTATTATACAGAGGCAAAGAGCTAAAGGCCCATTGAGGAACTGGGTCATGTGTCACATGTCTCCTTAGACTGTCCAACACAAGGCCACCTTGATTCAAGGTCATGTGACCTGAGCACAGAGACTGGAGTTCACCTGAGCCACTGGAGAAGGAATTTGAGGGTTTAGTGGATGGAGGAACAGAGAGAGACACATCTGGGCCACACACAAGTCGGGGCTGGAGGAGGAAGGGTGGCACTGGGACATTGGGACTTGACAAGGGAGCCTTGGTCACAGGGGCCATTTGGGGTTTTAGAAGTGGCAGTGTCAGTACTGGGAAGAGATCAGTAGTGTGGAGTGCCTCTGAGCTGGTCCCTCTGTCTGGAGAACCTGTGGCTGAGGGCTTGCCTGTGGTGTGGGCCTCCACTCTCTATCTCAGGGCCCCCATTTGCACACTGAGAATGTGCGAGTGGGCTGGACATGCCAGCTCTAAAGGCATTCGCCTTGGACAGCTCACTGGTTCCCACCTGTCTTCCTCCCTTCAGAGCACTGGGAGAGTGGAGTATGATCTACCCACAGGGGACTTCCAGCAATATCTGTGGGTGTCCTGTGTTGTCACTGCTGTAGTGTGGGAATCTAGGTACCCTACAATGCCCAGGAAACTCTAGACCTCAATGGGCCAAGGTTGAGGAACCTGTCTAGGACACTAAGAGCTTGCTGAAGGGTTGGCCAGCTTATGAAGGGTTCTCGGTACCACATATGGCTGTGTTCCTGAACTGATTGTTGCATTCCCTTACTTCCTTTGGTCTGGATGTATATTTTGATCTGTGACTTTCAGACTCGGTGTGTGTGTGTGTGTGTGTGTGTGTGTGTGTGTGTGTGTGTGCTCAGCCATGCATGACCTGGTCAGAGGTGACAGCATGATTTACTGTCTAAGAATTACAGATTCTTAGATAGAACAGCCCCTGTGTGTTGGAGGCGATGTGACAGTGTGGTGGTCTGTCCCCTTGGACAAGTGTAGCTTTGGGCAAGTGGGACCCAGAACCTTCCAAAGTGGGTGTGTGGAATGCCTGCTCAGGCTGGCAATGCTGCGAGTACCTGTAACCCTGGCTGAGTGGACTTTGCAGCTGTGGGGCGGGGGTTACAAGGCTGTTGTCAGTGGAATCATGAGGGGACAGCGGGTGACTGTTTGGCCTTTGGTGTCTTCGTGTGACTGCTCCTGGGAAACACCTCATTTCTATAAGAGACCTTCTACCAGGCATGTGTCTGGGACTGTGGGTGTCCCTCTGACCTAGGCCATAGCCATATGTATGACAGGGCTTAGCCTTGGCTTTGTGTTTTTCCGAGGCCTTTGTGGGGTGTATATATGCGTACACATCCCATTGTAACCTGAACATATATGACAAAGTCCCCTGCATGGGCTTTTCAATAACCCAGCTTAGAGGCTTCAGGCTCAGACCCAAACCCCAGGCCTAGCCAGCCTGCTATATTGGTTCTTTCCTAGCCCCATCCTGAGGGGCTGTTGATTGAGAGGCCCCCAGGGAGTCATTGGGATACCACGGGCAATTAATTCATTAGATTAATTAGCTGCTTTTCCCAGGCTGGGGGCAGGGCAGCCCTTTCAGGGCCCTGCCGCTCCAATCATCCAAGGTCATCTAGCCAGACCGCCTCTCAGTGAAGTCTCCTTCTCCCCCACTTACCCAGCCCCCACTCCCTGGCCCTGGCCCAGCCTGCTGGCCCCATCCACAGAGACCTGAATGGTGATATGATCAGACCACACTGGTGCATGCAGGCAGACCTGTGTTCGCACTGAGCACTGACAGGCCGTATGTGTGTATGTGTGTGTGTGCATGTGTGTGTGTGTGCATGTGTGTGTGTGTGTGTGTGTGTGTGGTTTGTGTTCAACCACAGGATTTCTAAAGGTGTGCATACAAGCCCATGTTTAGTATCTGTGATAGCTCCCTCCGTGTGTGTTTGCACATGTATGCCTGAGTTAATGTGTGTTTATGTGCATCTGTGTGTGCGTATGTACACCTGCTCATATGTACATTTGTATTTGTTGAAAATATATTTCTTGTATACATGAGTGTCTATGCATGCATGTGTACTGTATGCTCAACAGTCTGCGTGTGTGAATTGCACAATGTGTCTTTTTGTGTGCAAGTGTGTATGCATGTGAGTCCTGAGTACTTGTATGTATAAACATGATACCTCTGTCTGTATGCGAACACACCTGCATACTTGTTTATTATATCTATGACTTTACCTGAGGAGACTTGCATAAATACCTATCCATGGGGCTGGAGGGACAGCTCAATAGTGAAGGCAGTTGCTGCTCCTGCAGAGGACCCGAGTTCAATGCCCAGCACCCACATCAGACAGCTTACAGTGCCTGTAACTCCAACTCCAGAGGATCTGATGCCTTCTCCAAGGGCACCCCTATGTATATGCACACAGCTCACATACATATAAATAACCAAAGCAACAACAAAAGGGAACATCTACCCACCCCAGACAGGGCCCAAACAATATACGAGAGAAAGTTCTGAAATGTAATCTAGTTTAGTAGACTCATGAGTTCTAATGGGGTTATTCACAGGACTGTGGGTGAGGGTAACACACAGGCACTCGGACAACGTGCAGGCAACTACCCCATCAAAGAAGAGTCCCCCCCACACCCCCACACTCCCACACCCCCAGCAAAGTTAATGAGCTCCTCCTGTGGGTGGTTTTGTGTGCCACCTTTTGAGCTGGCATGGCCAGTTCTTGTGCTGCCTCCAGTGCTTAGAGAATGCCATTTCCACAAGGGAATATTACTTAGTCCAATCCTGCAAACACCTCATGTGGTGCTGTGTTATCAAGATAGCAATCTAGTCGAGCCCAGTGGACAGTGTTCCTTATTATGTAACTGGGAGTCTGTGCATACTAATGTGACCCTGAGTGCTTTGTTTGGCATGTGTGTGTGGTCGATAGCTGAGTGCTTAGATGTGTCTGCATGTCTGTGTCACTGTGTTTGATATGTGCATACATGTGTCTGGGCGCACAGGTGTCTGTGTGGATGTGTCTTTGTACACATGCACCAATGTGCATGTATCTCTCTGCATGCACATTTGTCTGTGTGTGTGGGCTGCGATTGGGTGTCATCTCTGTAAGCACACTGTTCCACAAGAGTTCCATTCTGTTTATGGGTCAGAGCAGACCCAGAGGAAGGAACATGGCATATTGGCCTACTCTGAGTATGTCCACTGTGTGTGAATTTCTGAAAACAATAAATTCTTGTAGCAGTGGATGCACATGCCTGGGTCACCAAAGCCACGTGTATGTGTTTGTGTCCATGAACAGAGTATTTGTCACAGCTGGCCCCTCCCCAGCTGCCAAGGCTGAGTAATCCCCTCCATTCTGCAGGGTTGCTATCCCAGAGCGTGGAGTTCAGCTCACCTGCAGACAACTACACAGTGTGTGAAGGTGACAACGCCACCCTCAGGTACATCCCCCTGTAGGGGCTCAGGCAGCCTGGGGCTTCACAAGGCTACACCCCTCCACCCACACTGCATGCACAAGCCTTGAGTGACATCTCCTGCATCTGGAGCCAGCTGTGAGGGGTGTGAACACTAAACCCAGCTCCAACTATAGACCTTACTGTCCTTGTAAAAGTGAAGAGATAAAAACCACTGTGATTCAAGACCCTGTAGACCACGAGTGCCAGGGATGCTGGCTAAGTGAGGGTTATTGGTCTCTCTAGCCCTGTCTTCTCCCTAGGGTCTCTCCCCCACCTGGGTCATTGTCCCTTGTTCTCTCTCTCTCTCTCTCTCTCTCTCTCTCTCTCTCCCTCTCCCTCTGTCTCCTTTTTGGGGGTCTCTGTCCCATCTTTCTTGTTTTCTGTCTATCTCTCCCCACATGTCTCTGTTCTCTCTCTCAGGGTCTCTGTTCCCTCCCTCCCTTTTCCCACCTCTGCGTCAGTCTTTCCCTCCCCACTCCCTCTTTAATACACAGCACCTCCTCAGAAGTCTGGCTTCCAGGCCTCTTCCATCTCTGAGGCTTGCTTTACCCTCCTGTACAGTGGGCACTGCCAGCTCTGCCTCCCAGGGTCCTGCAGGTGTAGTAGCAGTGGATGGGGAAACCCTTGCCTTCTTGTCTCATCCTCCTCTTCCTCCCCAGCTGCTTCATTGATGAGCATGTGACCCGAGTGGCCTGGCTGAACCGCTCCAACATCCTGTATGCAGGAAACGACCGCTGGACCAGTGACCCTCGGGTGCGGCTGCTCATCAACACACCTGAGGAGTTCTCCATCCTTATCACCCAAGTGGGGCTCGGGGATGAGGGCCTCTACACCTGCTCCTTCCAGACCCGCCACCAGCCCTACACCACTCAGGTCTACCTCATCGTCCATGGTGAGCCTGTGTGAAGATGAAAACAAGTGGGGAGGGGCCAGGCCTGTAGTATGGTCAGGGCTGGGAGGCACCAATGAACAGTCTTCACTGTGTGCACTGGGGCCACAGCTGGCCTGGGATACAAGTGAGTGGAACCTGAGCCACCCTGCCCTTGTGGATTTCAGCCAGGCTCGAGTGGGCGTAGCACCACAGTGGTTCTCCAACTAGGCAGTGGGAGAGACACTCTACTCCAGCTCTGTGTATTTGGGGAGCTGTGTGACTGAGATGACCCTCAAGTGGTGACTCTTCTGGGTGCTAAAGAAACACAGCAGCCTGGTTGTCTCTCCCTCTTTGCACTTATTTCCCAAGGAGAGGCTCAGAGGGAGGATTAGAGTGTGCACCCATGGGTGTGAGGGAGGAGGCTAAAATCTGGAGTCCTGGATCTGACAAGATAGGATGGTGGTCTGGACTCCTGGGTGTGGTGGGAAGGGGGAGGGCTGGAGTCTGCACTTCAGGGTCTGAGGGAATAAGATTGAGTCTGAGTGTGACTCCTGGGTGTGAGGGAAGGCTGACATCTGGACCCCTGGATCTGACAGAGGAGGGCTGAAGGCTGGACTCCTCAGTCTGGGGGTGGAGGGCTGTAATGTGAAGTCTACACCCATGGGTCTGAGTGAGGAGGGTCTGAGCCCACACCCCTGGGTCTAATGGAGGTAAGCTGGGGTCTGAAATCCTGGGTCTGAGGCAGGAGAGCCAGGCCTTGCTCTTGGGTCTGCAGCAGTGGAGCTTAGGTCCGGGTGGCTGGGAATGCACACTCACCCCAACTCTCCTCTCTGTCTCCAGTCCCTGCCCGCATCGTGAACATCTCCTCACCTGTGGCAGTGAATGAAGGGGGCAATGTGAACCTTCTCTGCCTGGCTGTGGGAAGGCCAGAGCCCACCGTCACCTGGAGACAGCTCCGAGGTGAGGATCCTCCCCCTGGCTGTAATCGGGGCCCCTCTGTTCTATATCCCTAGCTAAAGTTCCAGAGTCCCTCACTGTGAACCCCTCTAGCCCGTCTGGTGACTCGATTCCTGCCCATCCTGATCCCCATTTCTTACCAGACTCTCATCCCCTTATCTGGTCCCATCTCCAGGTCATGTGACACTCCCCACCCCAGCTTCCTTCCACCTGACAGATTTTCCTGACTCAGGCCCCAAGCTAGGAGGCATCCAGTGTCCTGCCATTCTGTCAGCCAGCAGTCCTCTCTCTCCTCTGCTGGTTATTGTAACCCAGTGGTTTGAATGGCCCCCAGACCTCAACATCAGCAACTCCTGGGAATTTTCCAGAAATGCACATTCTCAGGTCCCTGCCATAGATCCAGAGGCAATCAGGAGCACCCCTGTCTCTACCTACAACCTGCTTTGAGCCCTGAGATCCAGTTTTCCCGAAGGTGCTGCCTGACATGTCAGGCCAGGACACCACTTCCTTGCCATCCCCAGAGAGCCAAACTCTGGCTCTTCCTGTGTCTTTGCAGACTCACAGTGACCATCACTGGGTCCCAATCCTTGGGTGCCTTGAGAGCAAGAAACCCAATCCAGCCTCTTATCCCTTCATCCTGACCTTTGGTGTCTTCTGAACCCTAGATCCTTCTTGTCCTAAGTTCTAAATGGTCGTTTATGACCTCAGGTCACAGGTATCCGGATTACCAATCTCAGTCAGCAGGTCCCAATTCCTTGAACCCCAAAGAACTCTGGACCCTATCTCACTGTCCGCCTTTCCTGGATCCTGGAAAATCAATAGCCAAGATCCTGACTTCACTCGCTACTCCCAAGTGGGTCCCCTGAGCATGACATAAGGGTTCCCAGATCCCTAGATCTGTTGCACCCGAAATCCTAGGCCCCTTACCATGGGTTCTCCAGCCCCACCCTCAGCCCTATCCTGCCCCCACAGGACCTTCCCAGCTCCTACTAACCCCGGCACTCCAGCCCTGCTGTGCCCCTCTGATGTTTGTCCGTGTTGTGCCCGTGTTGTCCCGTGTTAAGTGTTTGTGTCCGGCCCTGCACCCCCTTCCCCGCCTCCCCCACAGACGGCTTCACCTCAGAGGGCGAGATTCTGGAAATCTCCGACATCCAGCGGGGCCAGGCCGGGGAATACGAATGCATTACTCACAACGGGGTGAACTCGGCGCCCGACAGCCGCCGTGTGCTGGTCACAGTGAATTGTGAGCATCAAGGGGGCGCACGGGCCGACCCTGGATGCCTGGGGAGGAGGGGTCTGCCTCATGAAGCGGGAAGCTGGGTGGGAATTCGGAGGAGGGTGCTGAAATAGGGCCCTGAAGTCCTCATGCAGCAAGAATGTGCCTGTGTTCCCTCTCCCGCTAAAGATCCCCCGACCATCACCGACGTGACCAGCGCGCGCACCGCCCTGGGCCGGGCCGCCCTCCTGCGCTGCGAAGCCATGGCGGTGCCGCCTGCAGATTTCCAGTGGTACAAGGATGACCGGCTGTGAGGACTGCACTGGGCAAGGCTGAAGGAAGAGGGGAGGGGAGGGAGGTCGTAGATCTCGGATCATAGAACCAGGGTGGAGAACCTGGAAGTGCAAAGGTGTGGAGTCCTGGGTCCTGATAGTCTAGGGTCCAATTTCTAGGTTACAGGGTCTGTGGACTCCTGGAAGAAAGACTATTTTGGGCACCAGTATAATGAATGCTGGGACTGCCCCCACCCCTTCCCCGCTCAAGAAGGTCTAGAGTCGAGGGTCGATGATAAGTGTGTGGAAGACAAGTTTGAAGAGACCACCAGGGCTGAGTTTTAGAGACTGGGCATTAGGGACACATAACTAGGAATGTACTGAAGTGGCCCTGGTGCGGGAGAAGGGATCTGCAGGGGAGCCTTGAGTCCTTGGGACACATAGGAGAGTTCCGGGCCTCATGGGGGAAGAGAAGAGCCTGGGTGTTTGTGGCAGAGCTGGGCACTGAACCCCAAGGGAGGCCAAGACCAACCCTGATCCGGATCCCCACAGGCTAAGCAGCGGCTCAGCGGAGGGTCTCAAAGTGCAGACCGAGCGCACTCGCTCCATGCTTGTGGTGCGGGGGTGGTGGGCGGGGGGGGGGGGGGGGGGTTGGAGGCAGGGCTTTGGGTGTGAGCCCTGGTTGGGCCCAGACATCAGTGGGTGGGGCAAGAAGGTGGAGATACAGGGATAGCCCCTGGCTCAGAATTTAGGAAACCCCAGCAGTGCCACGGAATAAAGAAACTGATTCTCAGGTGGTAGGATGCTTGCCTGGCATTCAAGATAAGAACCCCATCACTATTTAAAGCCAGCATGGTGGTGTACACCTGCAATCCCAGCATCCAGGAAGAGAAGGCAGGAAGTTCCATAATGAGTTCAAGGTGTAGGGGCTCGCAGGGCCTAGCAGAAAAAACAATAAGCAAATGGGCTGATAGTTTGCATACCAAACAAACAGGTGCATGTACAAAAACAGACAGGATTGGGGTGGTAGGTTTGAGGTAAGATCGCTGGAGAAAGGGGAGCCATGTGCAAGTCAGCAGGAAGAGGGAACTGCCCTTGCAAAGACACAGGGAGAAGGGTAGTCTGACAAGGAGCCGTCTTCTTAAACTGCTCTTAGAGAGAGCTGAGCTTCCCAGCAATGATCAGAGGTGCTGGGCTTACTGCACTGCCTGCCAAGGCCACTGAAGGCTGTTAAACAGCAAGTGACTGACAAGCACTTCCACTGCTCCAGGAATCCAGTCTCAGGCTGTTGGGGGCAGAACATGCAGGCTGTTATTAGCTGGGTGCAGAAGTGTGAGTAAAGAGAGGAGCTGGGTCAAAAGTGGCTCTGCACCAGGGACTTGTATTGCAGGGTCTTATCAAAGATACCCAGGAGGCTAAGGAAAGTTCAGGTTCAGCCTAACCAACTTAGTGAGACCCTGTTGTGAAAGTAAAGAGAGGTCTGGAATATAACTTAATATTTGCCTAGAACTTCCCAGTGAGGGCCTGGGGATGGCTTAGAGGTAGAGCATTTTCCTAGTATGTGAGAATCAGTACATTCCATCCCCAACAAAACAAAGTGTTAAAAAAAAAAAAAGTTACCAACCGACAAAGGCATTGCTGAAATTTCTGGTAGGCTGAGAAGGTGATTGGTAGGAATGTTGACAGAATTTTTAACAGAGAAAAACAAACTCCAAGGATCCAGACTAACCAATAAAAAGGAAATGGAGAAAATCTGGGAGTATATTGAGACCCAGAGCAGTTATAGAAGAGGCAGGCATAGGGGAGCCCAGACCCTAGAGAGTTCTGAGGCTGGAGGCAGAGGAAGTACCTAGGAGAGACCCACAGGGCCTCCCTATTTCAGCCTCCCTCTGTGACCATTTCTCTTTCACCAGGCCCAGGATCCCTGGAGAACTCAGCTCCAAGGCCCCCAGGGCCTCTGACCCTCCTCTCGGCCCTGGGCTGGCTGTGGTGGAGAATGTAGATGTCACCCAGTACAGCGCACCTCCCCCTGCAGGGGGCCTTGGGCCAGGAGCAAGAGAAAGGGGGTGAGCAAGCGCCACCGTGGGTCTCAAGGGAACAGCAGAGCTCTCAGCCACAGAGGAAGAAAGAAGAGGAGGACGACGAAGGTCTTTTAGAGAACCCATCACTGTGAGGGATAACGCAAAATTATGCATCTTTCTACAGCCATTCTCGCCACCCGTTCACGTTTCCAATTGTGGCCCACCACCCCCAGCCACTCCACACCCCTCTCGTAGCTCAGGCTGTCAACTGGCTCGTGTGTGTGTGTGTGTGTGTGTGTGTGTGTGTGTGTATGCATGCGCGCACGCGAGTGCATGTGTGTGCATGCACATGCGTGTGAGTGTGAGTCTGCATGTTGTATATGTGTGTATGTGTGTGAAGGTGTGCTGGGGGAGGGAACCAGGAGGCCTCCCTCCCATGGCCCCTGCCCATTCTTGCTGCCTCTCTTCCTCTGGCTGGAGGTAGGTGTGGGGGCTTCATGGTGGAAGCTTTGACAAGAAGATTGCCGGCTTTCCACCTTCCCATATATGCAGGAACACCTACCCCCTCCTCCCTATTGAAGGGGCAGGTCGGGTGAGTGTCAGGTGTCACTCAGCCTTTGTGAATAGGTGGGGATTTTCATTATGGCTTGTTTCTCCCTGCTCTATTGCCAGTTGCCTGCAGCCAGAGGCCCTATCACTGGCTCAGTGGCTTGAAACCTCCCTTGCCCTGCCCTTTCCCCACCCTGAACTTTCTGGCCCTCTTCCCGGGCCAATCGGTGCTTCCATTCAACTGATAGGCCAGAGGCTCTTGTCACCTGTCTGTCTCAATGCTTTGTCCCAGACAGACCCCTCCCCCACCCCCCCTTGGCCACAGTGGCACCCTCCAGCTGCCCTGCAGCTGACTCTGAGCATGGGCTCCCTGGCCACCTGCTGCCTCACCTCTCAACCCATAGTACCTCCAAAGGCTGCTGTGACCACACACACACATACACACACACATACACACACACACACACACACACACACACACACACACACACGTGCACATACACACACAGGCACACACGCACACACGCACACCAGTGATTGACCAGCAATAGCTCCTGGCTTCAGCTGCCCCAAAGTCTGTGACTAGCTGTAATTCCCTCAGAGTAGGCCACTATTATCCACAAAGGGAGCTGCCAGGCTCTGTGTGTGGGAACACCCCAGCTTGATGCACCTGGTGTCACAGAGCTGGGGAGAGAGGAGACACACAGACATCCTGAACCCAGGCAGAGGCACTATGCCACCAGCCCAAACTTCAGCAACCATACACCCAAAAACGTACCACTCAGAGCCTGGTGAAGACGAGGGCAGAGAGGGGCAGGGAGTCAAGGGGCAGTGACTGTACCTCAGACGGGGGCGTGGGCCCCATCCCACATTGTCTTCCATTCCCAGGGTCCGGGATAGGGTGGGAAGGAGGAGGGATATGAAGGGAGGGGGGAGGGGGGCCCTGGGGGCCGTGTGTTCCAATTCATGGGGAGTGTTGAGACCACCACACCAATAAACGCCTTTTTCCAAAGTCCCCGCCTGTGGAAGTCAATGTCATTGAGGATTTGGCCAGTGGATAGCAAAGGAGGTATGGCCATTTGGTAGAGAATCCCCAGTGCCATTCCTACCTCTGCCTGTTAGGGAGGTGAACTCCAAATGGCTTAAGCTGCTGGACAGCCCATTCATGTTTGGCTCAGAGATGGGTACATGACCCAGTGATGCTAACGAAAAGGCTCATTGTCTCCAGGAAGGGAAGGTCTTCTGCTGGTTTCAAAGAGGCTCAATCTCATAGCCTGAGCATGCAGTATAGCTTTATTATGGGGGAGGGTTGTGGGGTAGCAGTGAGGAAGGGGTATAGCAGCTGGGTCAAAACCTACCTGAAGCTCACTCTCCCACATACAAGCAATAAAGCCTGTGTTTGATTTTCTCCCCTTTGGTATATATAGTATTAGGGATTGAACCCAGTATTCAGTTCTCACTGGGGGGTTCCAGGCAGGGGCTCTACCACTGAGCCACATTCCCACTCCTTACTGTGGAATTCTAGGCAGCTGCCTACTATGAGGCCTCATCCCAAGTCCTTGGTGTTTTGAGACAAGGTCTCCCTATGAAATTCTGGCCTTGAGCATGTGATCTTCCTATCTCAAGTTCCCAAATGTTTGCATTATCCTGGAGTGTGATAGCTGACTGGATGTGTTGCTGCTTGCTGTAACTCTAAATTTCCCATGAGAATTCTTGTTTAAAAAAGAAGACATATCTTGTCAAGGATAGTAGCAGCTCTTCACAGGCAGGAGAACGTTTCATCAGTCCACAAGTATTTATTGAGTGGCTGCTGTGTGCTGGGCGCTGTTTCTGCTGGGATAATAGTGTGGTGTATGTCCCAGGGAGCTCTCAGTTCAGAGAGGGAAACTTATTGACCAGGGGGAAGCTGGGGACTGTGGGACTTTACTCACATGTAAAGAAGGGGGAGGGGTCCTTCTGAGGTGGTAATGACTACTTCAAGCCTTGTTAAATCAATGACATTGGAAAGAGAAGTGTCCAGCCAGAGCAAATTCTAGACACAAAGAGCTGGAGAGGCGGGGAAGTGTGGTTGGCAGAAAGCCTATGGAGAAGTAGTCTTGGGAGGAGAAGTCACAGAGGTTGATAGAGGCCAAACCAAAGGCCTCAAAGGTTTGAATGCAGAGACTGAATGATGTCTAAACTCTAGTACAGCCAACAGAGAAGCCATGGTAGTGCATGGCTGTCATCTCAGCACCCAGGAAGCTGAAGCAGGAAAACTGGGAAGTGTGGGGTCAACCAGGTCTGTGTTAGGAGATCCTTTCTTAAAAAAAAAAAAAAAAAGAAACAAAAAAGAAAGAAAGGTATGTGAGGTGGTCCATGCCTGCAATCCCAGCACTTGGGAGACTAGGGCAGAAGAGTCATGAATTCAAGGCCACTCGGGGCTAACAAGTCTGAAGCCAGCCTGGGCTACATGAGATTCTGAGTCAAACAAAGCAAAGAAAAAAGGAAATCAAGAGATGGGGGAGGAAGTGGGGAATGCAATACAGGCAAGATCTTTTGTGTTGGATGATGGGAGTCTGGAAGCTGAAGGGATGAGACCTGGAGGAGGCAGCAGCAGGGGACAGACCTTTGCAGAAGCTGTGCCAAGCTCCCCTTCCAGCTTGGAGCTAAACAGCAAGCCCTTCATGTCAGAGGTTTTGAGTTTGTGCTAACCACATCCACCCATCTGTAGTTGGCTCTCCTATCCCCAGAGTCATATTGATGTCCTTAGATGTACAACTACAGGTTGAGTCTTCAGAGACAAGAGGGAGACAGGATGTCCCACCCTTAGGGTCCAATCCTCAGTCATGGTAGGCCCCATGCCATTGGGCCAAAGCATGACTGTTCAAAACACTTCATGGAGATTGGGCCATCAGTTTTTGTCATACCTGGGTGGCTGCCCGAACAGTCCATGGGCTGCCACCTGGACAGAGAGCTGGACTGGGACTGATGACCTGGAAGAGAAGGAGATAAGAGGTGACTTCAAGGGATACCCTGAGTACAAAATGGCATGCCCAACTAACCTATCGGAAGCTAGCTGAGGGCCTGGAGAGATGGCTCAGTGGTTAAGGGCACGTGTTGCTTTTGCAGAGGACCTGGGTTTAATTCCCATCATCTATGTGGCAGCTTACAACTGTCTGTAATTCTATTTCTGAGGAATATGACCCTCTCTTCTGGCTTCTGAGGGCACTACATGCTTGTGGTACACAGACATACGAGCAGGCCAAACACACACACACATAAAATAAAAATAAATAAATCTTAAAGGAAACTAGTTGAGTTCCTTTTTCTTCTCCGCCTCATCCCTCTTCCTTTTTTCTTTCTCTCTTCTTTGTTTGTTTTGTGGGTTTTTGTTTCTGTTTTTGTTTTTCTTTTCTGTCTGTTTGAGACAGGGTCTTGCTATATCACCAGGATAGCCTTGAATTTGCAGTGATCCTCCTGCTCAGCCTCCCAACCACTATGATTACAGATGTGGACCCTCTGTGTGCCAGTGAAAAACTGAAAACAAGGAAATCCCATCTACCTCAGAGTTTAAAAATGGAAGTTGGGCCTAATTTCTATGGGAAACAGACATCACATCTTACTCTCCTTTTGGAAGACAAATTGGAATTTATATTCTTTTAGAATACATAAGAACTGGGCAGCATGTCCAATTATCAGTATTCAAAACAAAACAAAACATGAGGAGCTGGGGCTATAGCTAGTGTTTGCCTAGAAAATATGTGTCCTAGGCCCCATCCTCAGGTCTACATAGGTTGGATGTGATGATTACTGAACTTAACAGCTAGAGGTAGGAAGATTCCCAGTCATATAGCCTGTGACACAAAACACAGTAAGGCCCTGTTGCCAAACAATCAAACAATACATAACCTGAATAAGTCTTATCAACTTTTGTGTGCTGGCTAGTTTTATGTCAATGTGACACAGGCTAGAGATGGGAACCTCAAATGAGAAAATGCCTGCATCAGCTGCCCAAAAGTCTATAGGGCAGATTCTTAATTAGTGATTAATGTGGGAAGGCCCAGTCCACTGTGGGCGGGGCTATCCCTGGGCTGGTGGTCCTGGGTTCTATAAGAAAGCAGGATGAGCAAGCCAGTAAGCAGCAGCCCTCCATGGCCTCAGCTTCTGCCTCCAGGTTCCTGCCCTGTTTGTTCCTGTCCTGACTTCCTCTGATGAAGAACTGTGATGTGAAAGTGCAAGCCAAATAAATAAACCCTTCCCTCTTCATGTTGTTTGGTTGTGGTGTTTCATCACAACAGTAGTAACCCTAACTAGAACATTTTGTAAGTCATGAAGAAAAACGAGGAGAAAAACATTAGAAAATAGAATTAGAATATCCTCTTCTTCCAAGAAGCTACTTGACCCCCATGGCAGGAAACAACACCCACACTTACAGGGTGAGGGTTCTGCAGCTGGCTTTTGACAGGCAGCAGCCGTGGGGTCTGCACTGGGGTCAAACTCTGCATCTTTTTTTCTGGCGGAGTAAGCACAGGAGCCAAGGTCAGGGGGAGTTGCTTTTTCGCAGAAGTCCTTCCTATGAGAGGATGACAGGAAAAACATGATTGCTTGCTCCAACAGGCCACCCTGGTCAATAGGACGGGAAGCTGGTCCTAGACGGTGATAAGGAGATGGGACTGTTATTTAATGCATTGATTGCCATGCCAGCTTTTGCCTAGGGAAGCTCCCAGTTGGCCCCAGTTGCCTCTTCCCAGGCCCCTCATCACCTGGGAAATGCCTCAGACAGCAGACACACAGGAGGAGAAGGCCAACCAGCAGTGCTAAACCCAGCAGAGAGCCAAGGACGATGCCAGCGATGGCCCCTGGACTCAGGGCAGAACCTGGAAGACACACACCAAAGGAAATGAGGAAGTAGAGCCCAGGGATGCACTTAAGATTGTCTAAGCCCTTAACCCATCCTTCCCGGGAAGACTCAAGAAATCCGAGTTCAATCTCTGGGACTCTTGTGGCAAAAGGACAGACCAACTCCCTCAAGTTTTCTCTCAACTCCACATGCACACATCAGAACACATATACATCCATACATAAATAAATAAACCAACAAATAAATTTAAAAAGAGACACTAGAGAATAGATGCTTGTTGTTTCAAGCCAACCAGGTAGTGTGACATTGTCACAGGAGCCCTCATAATACTAACAGAAGAAGAGGGTCTGATGTAAAAACCTAAGTCTGGCTGGTTAGGTGCTAAGAGGAAGGCAGAAAAAGGTACCACAGCCCATCTTACCTGCTTGGTAGACCCGGCTTTGGGATGGGGTCCCTGGCAGAGACCCCAAGATGGGCAAGATGCGAAATGCCCAGGTCCCAGGGTTCCGATGAGGGAGTGGCACTATGGCTGACCGTTCCTGAGGGCCCAGAATGAGCAGGGAGACCCAGTCCCTACTGGTGGTGACTCTATCCAGGTCAGAACCATCTGTCTATGCCTGGATGTGGAAGCCAGTGAGGAGGGTGCCTCGCTCCACATCCCAGGTGAGCACTGCAGCTTCTTGGGCTCTCTGCAGCCTCCATGAGGAAATGGAGGGCCCTAAGAAGGAAAGATGCTAGATGCTGAGGACCTGGTGGGAGACGGCGAGGATGGATCTAAAGGAGAAGGGCTATGATTTGGACCACTGGATCTGAGGGAGAGGGCTGGGTCCTGGACCCCTGGATCTGGGAAAGAATGGTTGGAGCCTGGACACCTGGGTCTGAGGGAGGAGGGCTGGTTTCTGAACATCTTGGTTTAACTGATCTCACCAGCAAGGGTGATCTGGTTGCCTCCAGCTCCCAGTGCGCTGCTGCATAGCACAGAGTAGTTCCCCAGGTCCCAATCCAGGCTGAAGTTTCTGATGAGGAGCTTCCGGCCATCCTGGCTAAGCTGCAGTCGACCCCCACCTCCTGTAGCCAAGGGCCGTCCTTCCCGGGCCCAGGATGCTCTTGAAGGTGGGGGACAGCCGGTGACCTCCAGTGCTACCACCACATCCCCTGGCTGTGTCTCCTCTACTATTGGCTGCAGCAGCACTTCCTGGGGGGCTTCTGTTGGTGGAAGAAGCCCGGTTAAGAGAAATGAGACCTTATGGGATGTGAAGAACCAAGTTCTGTGTCCTTTGTTAAACCAAAAGGTGGCAAATGCCCCTCTTGCTCTGTGACCAGATGAGGTCACGGTCTGCCTATTCATTTGTTCATTCATTCATTTTTTGACAGTTTTCCTTTCATGTTGACTTACAGTGTGTGTTTGTGTCCACCAATGAAAATATGCAGAAATCAGACGACAACTACTGGGAGCTGGTTCTAGCCTTTCACTACCAAGGTTCTGGAGACCCAAGCCAGGTCATCAGGCTTGGTAGCAAGTGCCACCTCACCCAACCATTCATTAACTCTCCACCTTCTCAATACACATTTGTTGAACACTTGCCAAGGGGCCCCATACTGGGAAACTCAGTATTGTTAGCTATCTGTTACTTTTTTCTCTCTCTGGATACCTGGGAAGATGGCAGCCCTTTTTCTGAGTTCAGGGGTTTGGGATGGAACACCCTGTTCCTTCTGGCTTGCCACCCTGAAGTTCAGGACAAAACTTTGTTTCTCCTTTAGGTTCAAAGAAAAGTGAAGTTTGAGGACTCAAGAGATAACTTAGCAGATAAAGGCGAATGCCACCAGGCCTGAGTTCTATCCCCGAGACTTAAGCGGTGGAAGGAGATACCCAACTTCCAAAGAAAGTCAAGTTTGGGTTTCGTAAAATACTTAAAGTTATCGCGGGTCCTTTCCTTAAACCCAAAGAACCAAAGAAAAAGTCACCCACTTCCTTTAAAGATAGCAAGGAGGCCCAAGCCCTCTCACCCGGGATGATCGTGCAGGTGCGTGTCGCCACCAGGTGGCGGGCCAGACAGGTGACCGCGACGCCGCTGAGCTCCGGGCGGGCTGGGACAGCCACCAGGAGCGCAGATGGCACAGGTCCAGCCCGGACGCCTTCGGGAAGACCCTGGAACTGCAGAGAGGCGGCAGGGACCCCGCCGGGCCAGGAGCAGCGAAAGCGGAGGCTGCGGTCCGCGGGACCCCCTTCGACTGAGCATTGTGGAGCCCCCGGGGGCAGATCTGCCACGGAGGAGACAGACCATCCAGCCTCAGTCCTTCCATCTTCTCCAGTTCCGCCTCTACGCGGGATGCCCCACTCCTCCTACAGGTTTCTCTCGGCCTCTTTTCCTAGATAGCTCCACCCTCCCACGTGCACTGACCCCTTTTTTACCCCCTCCCTCTGCCTTTGCAGGTAACTTCAACCCTCGCTGATCCTACTTACTAGTGTCGTTCAAATCCAGTTCTGCCATTTAACTTCTCTGCTCATTCGATTGAGACTCTTTTTCCCAAGTCCACCTACCCTCTCCTCCTGCTGGCTCTTCCCCTTCTTGGCATCCTCCCCCTTCAACGGGCAGTGTGCAAACTTATGGGCCCCGCTCTAAGCACAGGTGTCCTAATGCACTTGCTTGTCCCATCCATTTGCAATTGGTGGGTATTCTACTCTCAGCTATCCCTCCTCCTACCGTCCACGCCCACCTAAATTGTTCCGCCTCCTTCTGTCTGGACACGCCCCTTTCCCGCCGCACCAATACGTTTCTCGTCCGCGCTGATGATGTCGTTCCTCTCCAGGTGATCCCACCCCACTCACAGATGTCCCTTTACTTTCCTAGCTAGCTTTACTCTTTAGCTGGTGGCCATGATTACTTGAGGTTTTCTCAGAAACTGCTTGCTAGCTCCTCACCTTCCTGGAAGCCACGCCCATCAGCAGCTATTCCGGGTTCCTTCCAGCTAACTCGGTTTCTTCTCCAGTAGCCACGCCCACCAGTAACTGTCGGGGCTCCTCCCTCCAGGAAGGGCACGCCCCTCAGTGCTCCCCTGCTCATTGCTGTCTCCTCCCTCCCCCGACACCCACGCCCCATGTGCTTCCGCTCTCCCTGCTGGATGAACCCACAGCTCTTACCCGCCACCGTGAGGTTGAAGACCGAACGCCTGCGGCGGCCAGTGCGGGGGTTCGCGGCGATGCAGGCGTAAGCGCCGGCGTGGCCTGGCCCCACCGACGGCAGCAGGAGGCGAGGCCCCGCAGGCACTGCGGCCTCTGTGGGGTCCGCCAGACTCCATGCAATGTCTGCCGACGGCCGCGAGGGGGCCGAGCAGTGCAAGGTGACATTGCTGCCCGCAGTAACGTAGAGCGTAGGATCAGCGTCATGGTCAGAGGAGACCCTGATTACAGGAGCATCCGGGCCGTCTTAGGTGGGAAGGAGGGGAGAGACAAGGGGGTGGGTGGGACTGCAAGGAGTCACAGACACTGGGTCCACTTCTCCCTGGGGACTCAAGACTCGAATCCTCCCTGGAGACATCCCCCCCCACTCACAGAAGACACTGACGTCAGCGGCAGCCTCCGTGTGGCCAAAGGGGCTGCGGACATGGCAGGTGTACCGGGCGTGGTCGTTGCGTACCGGACGTGAGATGAGCAGCTGGTCCCGTTCTGCGCGGATACGAGGTGGCTCTGCGCCTTCGGGGTCTGGGGTCTCCAGGGCGTGTCCGTTTCTGCTCCAACTTAGTTCCCCACTCCCTGGATTCCACCCCAAGCAGCGCAAACTCAGTTCGGCTGCCCCCTCCTCTGTCTCTGGAGCCGTGGGCTGTACCGACAACTGGGGTAAGGGCTCTGGAGACACAGCACAGTCTCTGATGAGTCTGAGAATCCATACACCAGAACTCCCTCCCTGTGCCCAAGACTCTGCCTCCTCAGCCCTTCCTCTCTCTCCTCACTGCACCAGGAATCTGAGCTCCCAGTCCTCCTCCCTCAGATCTAGGGGTACAGACCCCAGGCCTATTCCGTCAGCTCCAGGAGTCCAGACTCCAGCGGTCCAGACCCAGGGCTTCAGACCCCAGGCCAGCTCCCTTAGACCCAGGGGTTCAGGCCTCAGGTCTCCCCTCTCAGACCTAGGAGTCCAGACCCAGACCTCCTCCCCCAGGCAAGGTGCTGTCTGGTCCCTGTCTTGGCTCCTATCCGCACTCCCAGGCTCTTTTCTGGGAAAGAAGCATATTCACCCAGCACAGATTTGCCCAGATGTGTGTGAGGAGAGCAGGCTCTACAGCTTGTGCTCTGCACCACAAGGCCCACTTACCATATACACCCACCGTGAACTCCCGAATCTGTTGGGAGACTCCTCCCCTGATGACCTCAACTGTGTACACCCCAGCATCATCCAGTCGTGCAGAGGTGAGTTCTAGACCCCCTCGAATCTGGTCAAATCTCAGGCGGGCCTGATGCATGGGGTCCAAACTGATCAGTGGAGCCTGTGACCCCAGGCCCCCAGCTGCCAATACCTTGGAGCCCCGGCGCCAGACCACCAGAGGAGCAGGGGGCCTGTGGCTGGGGACTGGAGTCAGGGGGAGCTTGATGGTGGATCCCACTAGCACAGCCAGGGGTCCCCCCACCTGCTGGGGGAAGCTTGCAGCCTGGTAACTCTCCGAAGAAATTTTGGACTCAGGGTTCTGGACAGGAAGTTCAAGTTTGTGATGATCTTGGGGTAGCTTTGAACCTGGGGCTTTGCTCGGTACTTTGGTGTCTGGGACTTGAACAGAGAAGGAAGGCCTGTGGTCTTTAGCAGGATCTTGAGAATGGAAACCATCAAAACTCACTTGGGAAGCAGGGATTCTAGAGAAGGCGACATCAGGGCTCAGATATTGCCCCCCAGAAGACACATTGGTCCAGAATGACTCAGGAACATGGCTTGCATTGGGCCCTTGAGGAAACCAGTTGGAATCAGGGATCCCAGAAGAGGCTTCTGAACCTTGAGGCTGATCTGGAAAGTTCTGGCTGGGGAGCTGGCCTGAGACTTTTGAAACAAAGCCCTGTGAAGAGCCCACTGAGTCCCAGGAGGAGGCAGAGAGGGAGGGTTGCCCAGGGTTAGAAGCTGGATGGAGGGCGAGGAACCCTGCTCTGGAGGCTGTGGAGGAGAGGAGGGAGGGGACAGTATTGAGAGACTTCCAGGGAACAAACAAGCTTCTGGGGAGGAGGGTGTCACAGGGAACTTACTCAGGAGTAGGAAGAGCAGCAGAGCCGATGAGAGACCCATGGTGATGGTCGCACTCTGGAAAGGACACTACACTGAGATCCACGCTTGCATTGTCCCAGGTCTGACAAGTCCAGCAGGAATGGTGGCTTAGCTTCCTGGGTGGGGATAGAGGGCAGACCTGTGGGAGGTGCCAGGGTCTCCTGGCATGATATAGTGGCTAAGTGACCCCACCCCACCCTTCTTGTCTTCATCAGAGGATGTGTGGAGAGGCCTGGCTGATCCTCCACTCCTCACCCCTAGGGGAAGGTGGACTCCCAGCTGGAACTGTAGGCACTGTGCAGGAAGACTTCCTCCAGGAGTGTCTGAGAAATCAGAGTCCCTCCTATGAACTCCCTGCCTGGCTCAGGTTTCTTGCTTCCCAGCCCTAGGCTCCACTGTCTTACCTTAATTCTGTCTGACCCTGGCCCCATCTCCAGATCATTCTGTGACTTCCTGATGTCCTCAGAACCAAGTTTCCAGTTGATGTCTCCATTGAGGCCATCTCCCCTGAGACCTAGAACTCAACTTGCATTGTCCAACACCTACTAAACACAGCATCTCCCTTCTTACCGATACTTTCAGGGTGGCTCCATCATCTATGCAAAGGCTAGGGAGCCTTCCCACTGTCTCCCTCCCTGGCAAAGCCATCAATCTCTAATGCTACCTAGATCTCTCTCCCGATTTTCTCCTCTTGGTGTCTACTGCTCAAATCTTATCTTCTTCACCACCTACTTTCTGCAATCTCCTTCTCTGGATAAGACCCCTCCATGGCCAGCTGGCCCTTCCCTCCATGTCACAGCTCTGCCTGGATCCACAGTATCCTCTGCAGACGTCCTTGTAGGAACTGCCCACTTCTCCTCACTCCATCCCTTACCCCTCCCCACCAACATGGTGTTCTTCCAGTGGTATCTCACCTCCCAGCCTTTGTGAGCATCCTTTCCTCTACCTGGAATGCTCTTTCCCTCTCCAGTCTGGCTGCCTCATAACTGGTCCTTCAGGTCTCACCTCATTAATAGCCACAATAATAATGACAACTCTAAGTTCATCCAGGAACTATGCTAAATTCTATCTGTGCGTTATTATCCTCTGAGTGGGATATTTGGTTCTCACTCCACACACCAAGAGATAATGATGCCGAGGCCAAATTTCCTTTGAAAGGTTGCACAGCCAGGAGGAGAGGCTGGACTTGGGTCAAGGCTAGTCAGATTGCTTAGTTCTTCAGAAAGCTTTAGGCCTCTGCTCAGCTCTGAACCTCTGAGACCTAGTATAGTGCTCACAGGGCTGGAGGGAGGCATGGTCTGAATGTACTGAGCATGCTCTGTGTATCACACACAGCTCTTAAGTGCTATGTCATAAAACTGTTTGAAAAAGATAATGTTTTGTTGGGCATGGTGGCGCACGCCTTTAATCCCAGCATTTGAGAGACAGAGGCAGGTGGATCTTAGTGAGTTCAAAGCCATCCTGGTCTACATAGGGCGTTTCAGGGCAGCCAGGATAAAATAGAGCCCCTGTCTTTAAGGTATCCAAATAAATTAATGATAATAATGTTTTAATTTATTCTTTGATAATTTAATATATTTTGATCATATCTTTTCCTGTCTCCAACTCCTTCCAGATTTTTCTCAACCTCCCTACCCACTCATCTCCATATTCTTTCTCTCTCATAAAATAAAGTAAAAGAAAAGAAAATGAAGCACGGAGTCCATTTTGTGTTGGCCGACTATGCTTGACATGGGGCCTGTCCCAGGATATGGCTGTTATACCCTGTGCACCTTTGAAGAAAACTGATTTCCTCTCCAAGTAGTCATCAATTTTGAATAGCTTCTTGGCTAGGGGTGAGGATTTGTGCCCGTTTTCTATTGTCCATGCTGGGGTTTTGTGTCCACTTCCTATCGTCCATGCCGGGGTTTTGTCTGGCTGGAGCTTGGGCAGGTGTGCAGGCTGTTTACACTCTCTTGGAAGTTCATGTATGCATCAGTCTTGTTGTGTCTGGAAAACGCTGTTTCCTGGGAGTCACCCACCACTTCTGGCTCTGACAGTCTTTGCACTCCCTCTTCTGAATAGATCCCTGAGCATTAAGAGGAGGGGTGTGATGAACGTATCCCATTTGGATAAACAGATAATGAAAATACCTTTACACATTAGAAGACAATTCAGCTGCTTAGAAACATGAAATCTGTAGGTAAATGAATGGAGCTATAAACTGTCATCCTGAGTGACGTGACCCAGAAAGCCAAACACTGCATGCTTTCCGTCATATGTGGATGCTAGCTTTTAAGCTTTAGCTGTGTGCTTTTCACTTGACCTTTGAAAGTTCCATGGGGAGCTGTCACTTCATCCAGCACTTGAGAGTCTGAGACAAGAGGGCATCCTGTGCTATAGTGAGTTCAAAGTCAGGGTGGGCATTTTAGTGAAATACTCAAAGAGAGGGCTGGGGTCTGGTGGGGTGACATAGTGCTGGTCTAGTATGCACTGCTTGAAGGGCTATGTGTATAGCTCAGTGGTAGAGCTCCTACCTAGAATCCTCCAGAGAAGGGCAAGAGTATGGCTCAGAGGTAGAATCCCTGTCTAGAATCCCCTATTGAGGAGTTGGGGGTGTGGCTCAGTGGTAGAGCCACTGCCTAGAATCTCCCAGTAAGGGGCTAGGGCATGGGTATTCCTAGCAAGTATGAGACTCTGAGTTCAATCCCCAAAACTAAATCCAAACAGATAAACACATGGAGCTGGCCTAGTAGCACACACCTGAAATTCCAGTGCTTAGAAGGCAGAGGACAAACCTGGGCTACATAGCAAGTTTCAGGTCAGCCTGGGAAAATACCAAGGCCCTATCTCACCACCACCAATAATATAAATAAATAAAGGAGGTAAGAGAAAAAGGAAAGGGAAAGCAGGGCCTCTACTCCATCAGATCTAATAAGTTCTGTACCAAGAGGACTTAGAGGATGTTCCCAGACCACTTTCTGTCCTGAGACTTGTTGCAGTACACTTTGATGTATGTCCTCTGGAGCAGCCCCTTGGGGAGGAATCATGGCTCTTGGCCCACAGCCTTGGCTGAGGTCCTAGGTGACTGTTAGCTTGGGTCAAGAGCACCCCCAGCCTGCCAAGCATTTCACTCCATGCCTCTAACCTTAGCATTAGAGGAGACTGAGGTGAGAGGAGCTTCAGTCTGAAGCAAGCCTGACTTATATAGGAAGACCCTGACTCCACAGAGGGGGTTGGCTGGGAATGAGAGATGGATCAGAGGTTTAGAGCACTGGCTGCCTTTTCAGAGGACCAGGGTTCAATTTTCAGTACCCACATGGTGGCTCACAACCATCCGTAACTCCAGTTCCAGGGTCTCCAATGTTCTCTTCTAGCCCGTGGTAACTGCATGCATGTAAGTGGCATACAGACATATACTCACACACACAAACACATAAAATTTAAAAATAAGTAATCAAACTTTTTGAGACAGGGTTTCTCTGTAGCCCTGGCTATACTGGAACTCACTCTGTAGACCAGGCTGGCCTCAAGATCACAGAGATCCGCCTGCCTTTGCCTCCTGAGTGCTGGGATTAAAGGTGTGGGCCACTATGCCCAGTAATAGCTCTGTTTTAAAAATAGGGCTTGGCATGCAGTAGTGTTGCTCTCACTTGGCCAGAGAAGCCGTTCTGCAGTGAGTAGCAGTTAACACAAAGACTTGTAAATGGTCAAGTGCTGAGACTAAGTGACTTTTCCCCCCAACATAATATTTTTTTGATTATTTGGGAATTTCACACAATGTACCCTGATCACACTCACTTCCCTGTCTTCCCAGGTTCACCCTCAACTTGTGCCCTGCCTCCCCGCCAAAAAAAGAAGAGAAAGAAAAAAATACAACAATTCCTATTTGTGTTGCCATTTACTCACTAGAGAATGGTCAAACTCCCAGTGTCCAGTCCCTTAAAGAAAACTGAGCCCTCCCCACCACCCCACCCCACCCCACCCCACCAGAAGCCACCAGCTGTGAAGAGCTACATTCCTGATCCCTAACACAATTTCAAGGGCTTTCTCCAGTGGCTTCCTGTCTAAACTGTTTCTTTTCTTTTTTTGTAGGGGGGTTGTTGTTACAGAAGCCTTTAATGTCTCTCATCTCAACTGTGAATCTGCAATCATTAATGGCACTGCAAAAGAAGCTTTATAATCAGCAGTAGTATGGACTATGGACTTACACATGGTTTCTGGTGACAGCACCGACTATAGACATCAACATGGCCCTTGGCAACAGCACAGGCCTGTTGTGGCATATTATTTAACTGGCAAAATGTGTGTTATATTTGTTTATGATGCATTTGTTTAATTATGAAAAGATGTGTTGTTGTTTCACCTTGCCTGCCTAAAGCACATGATTGGTTTAACAAAAAGCTGAATGGATAACAGCTAGGCAGGAGAGGGACAGGTGAGGTTGGCAGACAGAGAGAATAAGTAGGAGAAATCTAGGCTCCAGAGAGAAGAAAGAAGAAGAGAAAGAGTGACACACCCAAGGCCAGAAGCCAGGCAGTCACCAGCCAGTCAGACATAGAGGCAGCAGGAAAGTAAGATACAAAGAAAGAAGGTAAAAAGCCCCTAGGCAAAATGTAGATGAAGAGAAACAGGTTAAGTTAAAGAAAAAAAAAAGCTAGCTAGAAATGAGCATAAGCTAGGGTCAAGCATTCATAACTAATAAGTTTCTATATCATCATGAGTTGGGAGCTGGTTGGTGGCCCAAAAGAAAGGATGGTGCACAGGCCTTGTACATCAACATGGCCTTCGGTGGTAACACAGATCACAGACATCAACATGGTCTCCAGCAGGAGCACAGACCATGGACATCCTCAGGGCCTCCAGCAGCAACAGGGAACACAGATCTCAACATAGTCCCCAGTGGCAGTACTGACCACAGACTTCAATTCAGCCATCAGGCTGTAGCATGGGCCGCAGACATCAACAGGGTCTCAGGCAGCAGCACAGGCCATGAACATCAACGTGGCGTCCAGCAGGAACACGAACCACGGACATCAACA